TCCAACCTAACAAGCTGCCAATTTCTTCATTCTATTTTTACTCATAATCTCTTAGGATTACTTTACTTCTCCATTTGAAAGTGGTTTGCCTAACGTGGGTGTACGTCCATTTGTTCATTCCCCTTTCCAAAGTCGCTGACACAGCTAACTCTAGGAGGAGGTTTGAGGCTATGAAACTCAACACAACATTCAAATCTATGGCTGTAAACTGAGCACTGAAGTCTTGCAAAGTTAGGTGTGATGACATGACCAGTTGCCACACCTTCCTTGTTTTGTCAACACTGTCACTGGGAAAATAATTTCAAAATAACTCTAGAATTAGCCCTTTGTCAAAAGCACATATTTTTCCCCACCTGGAAGACTGCTACTAACATCTTATATTAACATGATTTCTGAGATTATCCTGACGTGATCCCTACCACATCTTTCAGGTAGGAACAAGCTGAAAGAGTGCCTAATTTGTCTTTTTTAGAGCAGCTTGAAAAGGGCATCTAGCTTGGCCACGTGACAACTGACTTCTGTTAAGAACTCTTCCCTCTGAAGGCATTTTATTCCTGTTGCTGAATTCTGCCTTTTTTAACAGGATTAGAAGAGTTACTGGATGTGGCATATACACACACCACAGCCTGAAGCTGTCCTTTTACATTACATAACTTAATGTCATTGCACAGATCAGGTACCATCTCTCTTCTGGCTTTGTGCACCTTTCAACAATCTAAAAATCCCACAACTTCACGAAATAGGCTCAGTCACCCACACCAACAGCTTGCTGCCACTAGCATGGACAGTCCTGGTCCTACCTTTTCCTCCTGCAATACCCTTGTGCAGGCTCAATCTTAAATCCCGGCCTACAAAACCCCAAGTGGAACAACAACCCAGGTACATTTTTCTGGGTTTTACAACTTTTTTTTTTTGTTGTTGTTGCTGTTCAGTACTGTAAAACTGGTGCCCTATAAAACTAAACCAGTTTGTGTGCAAAGTACCTTACGTTCCCCTGTGCCCAGAACAAAAAAACTGCCCACATGCCACAAACTGTACCTACATAAAGAATCTTAAAGCTACTGTATCTACAAACACACCTCAAAATCATATTTTTTTCTTGTTCACTTGTGGCAGGATTCTTCATAAAGAAAACAGGCAAAAGTGCCTATAAAAATATTAAAGCTATTCTTTCAAGTCCACTATGTTTAATAGACAAACTTGTCATGGGTAAAAATGTTACTGAAATAAATTCACAATTTAAAATGTTCATTACTAAATTAAAAAAACTTTAACAATTAAGATGTAAGGATAGCCCATTCTTTGAAAGCGTCATTTACCTTATTTCAGAAGATATTAATTTCCCCTTCTGAACTATTAAAGGTCTGCAAGGCGTTCCACGTGCAAAAAGTCAGTGGATTGAAAAATTTTATC